CCCCCCCCGGCCGAAAACTGGAGCTGTTCCATTCTGCCCCCATCCCCTGAATGGCATGCGCACAGCCTCCCGCCATTTACCCCATCCCTCATCTCCCAACATTGAACACCCCTAACCCACCAGTCCCAGCAACTCTTCATTGTTATAAAATGTCAGTGCAAATGAAGCAATTAGAAAAAGAACTCAATTTAAACATTAAATTTTGATTAATCGTAGTTATGGTAATTCATGACATTGCATGTGGTAATCTGGGGTACCTCGAGATGATACGAACAGCTGCTGCAACCACTGAGTACACGCCACATTGCCATTCGAGTTATTCTAATCACAAATGCATTGTTGCTGAGTTTATCATGAATGAGTGAGAGAACAGTCGTCGATTTATTAACAATGTTGGGGTTTTGGGGTCCGATTTGTCGACGAGGGCCACTATGGAGCTGTCACCTACGTATCATTCGATTGTCAAAACACTCCGAGGGGTCAATGTCTTCGGAATTGAAGCCCTCAAGCCCCATAATTATTCATCAATTATTTATTCCACGTCAGGGACAAATAATTTGCCGGAATAATTTCGTCTTCTCGTGAACATCGTCAACGCAACTGGGTCAGAGTCTGGGTACTGGGGAGGGCTGTGTATTCATGGCTGTTTTTGTTGATGAGCAGAATCTCACGCGCATCGATATTTCGATCTGCACTAGGGGCTCTAGCTGAATTTTTTGAATTCTCCGGCTGTTGCACTGTGTTTTTATTGAGAATGGCTGGCGTAGAGAGACATGGTGGGCGCGCGGATGGATTCCGAATTTTTGATGGGGAAAATAACTCGACGTTGGGACGAATAAATTCACAGCAATATGGGGATTATCGGTGGGACAAGTGTACGACAAGGTGAGTATGTTAATCCACCTCTGCTTTTCGCAATTCCGTAGGCGAGAGAGACTCTTCGAGCCTATATTGGATTGGTCGGTGTGCGCGAGATTCTATCGATTTGCTCTAGCGCGACAGCTTTCAAGTCGGGAGTCTGAGGGTATGAGCAACTTCCGCAATGCGTGCTACATTAATTTGTTTATTTGTTTATTTGTTTATTTGGACATTGTGGGGAGATTTATGGGATGAGACAAAATTTCAGAGAAAATCCTAGCGGATTCTCTAGGAAATTCGTTTCGCGTTCTAGTAGTTTCCGCGCGATTCTGTTAAATGATTCCATTGATTGTCTGTCTATTTTTTCCAACAGGAATGTTCAATAAAAAATATTCTGCACAGATTTGGCAATTCGTTGGGGATCACACGAGTATTGGGCTGGGAGGACTTGATGTATACTCGTTCGACTCCAGTAGTCGATGGGGCTCTTTGAATTTTATGAGTGGAGATGAATTTTGGGAATTGTCTTGATTAATGGAGAGGCTATTACAATTTATCGTTGAGTGAATTGGTGGGATGACGTATGAGGGAAAATTTAGGAGGAAAATACCCAGCGTTTTTTTATATCTTGAGACAGACAAAAGTGTCTTGGCCTTCTTCTTAAGCACTCATTACCGGGATAATTACACAAGTGATGAGTCATAAATATGTAGAATGACTATTGAATATTCTCCCTTGGAAAATTAAACAGCTGGTAAAAATACCTCTTCACATTTTCGGTTAAAAAAAAAAAACTTATTAATTAGTGATTTCAAGGAAAAATATTCACAGTTATTGCCTTATGAAAATTTTAATATCTTTAAAATTCAGTTCTCATTTCAATGAATACACAATTAAAAAATCATTAAAATGTCAAAAATGTTCAATCAACTCATCAATATCAAATTATCTCAATAATGAATGCCAAGAGGCATTTTTCATCGCACATTTCATCTTCAGAATAAAGATTTTGACATTTTCTCCTCAAACCCCTCTTTTCCTCACTAATAAAAAATTAAAAAACATCAGACTGTAATTTCCTGTTGATATTACGTCTCACCTTAGCTGCTTGCGGCTCGATGTCGGTGAGCCGTTGAGCCCGGGGTCTCTCAGGCGGTCCTGGCATCCCCAAGAATCGTCCCAACAGTATAAAAAGGACGAAACCCAGTTCCACTGTCTCTTATTTAAATTCCTCCATTGGGATCAGATCTATCAGTCGAATTCTATCAGTACTTTTCCCTCTTATTGTCATTTCTGAAACCAAAAAAAAAACAAAAAATCAATTTACAACTACTTCTCAAACTCACAGACAATTGTTCCTCTCTTGTTACCCTGAACAATGATCAATTTCATAAAATCCCACGAATGAAACAATTTAATGGAAAAACGTAGCGATTTTTAAAAGAAATTTTACAGAAATTCTATTGCCGAAATAGTGAAGACTAGTGAAAATTCTGCAACTTGTCATTTTTTCAAGAAATATTTGATAGAAAAAAACCAATCGATTTTGATTCTTCTACAGAAATTCTTGGGCATAAATTCTTCATATTTTTCCACTCTATTTTGATTCGTTTCAAAAAAATTGGAAAACTCATGCCCTAGAATTTTTATCAATAAAAAAAATCCAGCAGTACAGGTATAGATACAGAAAAATGAACATCTAAATCAACATTTTTTTCCATAAAAAATAATTATTGAAAAACGCATAACAAAGTTGCCTAATTTTCAACAGAATTGGCGCAAAAAAAAATATAGAATTACTCAAAAGAATTTAAAAAAACTCCATTCAAAAGAACTTCTCAGAAAACCCCCTATTCTTTCCCATTTATTTTTATTCATGTGTACCAGACGTCGTCCCCAGAAATTCTAGGTTAGAACGACCTCAGCACCAAAGAAAATCAAAAAACACCCCATTATCCTTCTTAATTAGGATTTTTCTTTTATAGCAGGAGTCGATTGTAAAAATTATAAAATTAGAGAGAGTCACATTTGAGCTGTCACTGAAAAACTAGTAGCTTTCAAACAAAACTTGAACAAAAAATGAATAAATGGGGAAAAATGTCAAAATAAAATGATGCTGGTGACACAGAAATGACTGGAAATCACAGCCCACTGCCATTTCCCCTCAATCATCATGAAGTGACATTTTTACATAATGGACACCAGGTGGTTTAGCTGATTGCATCGAGCCTGATGTAACTAGATATGGAGTAGACATATTTCTCGCTCATTTTCACACAATCATGTAATTTGATATTCAGTCAGAGTAGAATACCAATGGAGAAGATTACGAGGATCAATTGTCGTCGGTGGAATGTCCATTGTCGATTAATTCCCCTCCCCCCGCCCATTACTCCGTCACTCGTTCGTTATTTATCAACAGTTGTATTTTTATTTATTACTCACATGCAGCTGAATTTCTCGTCTACATTTGACGTGACGATATCTTTGGAGATCATTTAATGTCTCGGGGGGAATTGCACGTTCACAGGGACTGGGTGGGCCATAAAAAAATATGAAAAATTTACTGGAGACCCTGGTTAACACTTGCACCCTCACAAACACTAAAACAACAACTTGGCAATTTCAGTGACATGTTTAACCTCCCTCGACGCGTAATCGAGCTGCTGACGAGAGTTTATTTTATTTTTTTCTTCACTTTTCATCGGCAGTCACTTGTGCTCGAGCGCTGATACTGCAGCTGGATGCAGCTATTCGGTGTACAGTGCAGAATTCCAGCGACTGAAATTGTATTTACGCAATGGTTGCTCTTGCACCAGCCATGGCAGAGCAACCACTGGGACGCGGTCGGAAATAGACGGAATCTGGCGGATTTTATTCAACGGACGACTCTCTCTCCCGTTGGGCGAGAGGACTACGGGTGGTGGAAAGGGGACAAAAAAATACTCGTTGGGGACGAAGTGATCCCACTTCATTGTCGAATGTTGTCGAACACGCCCCACATTTGAAGTGATAGGGAATGACGGCGGGGGGGGGGGGGGATGCGGG